AAAGTTACTGAACTTTTCTCCAACTTACAATGATCTATTCATATAAAAAGTCACACTCAAAGTTCTGGTCAATGGGGTTGGCATTTGGGGGCTGGTGCTGTGTAACACCTTTGTCAGCAAAATGGACAGTGGGATTGAGAGTATCCTCAGCAAGTTTGCTGACACCAAGCTGTGCAGTGCAGTGGACATGCTGGAGGGAAGGGATGTCAACTCGAGGGACCCTGGCAGGCTTGAGAGGTGGGACTGTGTGAACCTCATGAAGTTCAACAAGGCCAAGTGCAAACTCCTGCACTTGGATCGAGACAATCCCAAGCACAAATACAGGCTGGGTGGAAATGGACTGAGAAGAAATACTTGGGGGATGACCAGACACTCAATGTATCCCAGCAATGTGCATTCACAGCTCAGAAAGCCAACTGTGTCCAGGGATGCATGTGAAGAAGCACGGCCAGCAGGTCACCACTCTGGTGAGGGCCCACCTGGAGCACTGCATCCAGCTCTGGGGTGTCCAACACATGAAGGACACTGACCTGTCAGAGCAGGCCCACAGGGGACACACGAATATCAGAGAGCTGAAGCACCCCTTCTATGAAGACAGGCTGAGAAAGTTGGAGCTGTTCAGCCTGGAGAAGGCTCTGGGGTAGCCTAATTGTGGCCTTCCAGTACCTAAGAGGGGCCTATAAAAGAGCTGGAGAGGAACTTTTTACAAGAACATATTGCAATAAAACAAAATCAAATGGGTTTAAACTGCAAGAGGGAAGGTCTAGGTGAGAGATTATGAATAAATTCTTTACTGTGAGGATGGTGAAGTACTGGAACAAGTTGCCCAGAGAAGATGTGGATGCACAATCCTTGGAAGCGTTCAAGGCCAGGTTCAATGGTACTTAGAGCAACCTGGTATAATGGAAGATGTCTCTGTCCATGTCAGTGAGGCTGGAACTAGCTGGCCTTTGAAATTCCTTCCAACTCAAACCATCCTTTGATTCTATGATATATATGTGGGTAAGGGGAAGAAAACAATGTTAAAACCACTCTATAACCACAGTGAAAAAAACAGAGATAACTGTAGTGACAGCTCTTGCACTACTTAGCAGGTTGAGCTTACTACAGTTTTCAGAGGACACTGCTTTCCTCTGTTATTTTTATATTAATTAGGGAATCAAATGCTCATGGAATGATACCACCCACAACAGCAATATCCAGGAATAGCATGGGCAGGTGCTGTGCACAAGTTTCTCTGCCAATCAGTCTCAAGCTTGACTCATCTTCTCTCAGTGTTGTATTTTCCTGAAGCAGAGATTAATCACTGTGCCAAACTGTATGGTGTAAAGTTCTACTTGGAATGAGAATGACCACAGACAAATTTTCCCTATCAATGTCTCATAACTTGAAATCAGTACTGCAAGGGTTTGGTGATGGGAGTGAAAGACTGAGCAAGACAAGAATAAAATTCTCATGAAAATTACTTCACCTGCAAAAGTAGTATCTGCAAAAAAAGGGCAGAAATTCATTCCAGCCCGAAGAGAAACATCTTTTTTAAGACCTGTGCTTCTTGCATTTCTGCTGCAATATCTAAACAGCAGCTGCTTTTTAAATCAAACTAACTTGTAAAACCAAGTTATGTTATGCATTTCACCACCTGCAAGAATTAATCCAAAATGCCTCTATCAACAGCAACATCTATTTTTGGCCCATCTCGAAGTATTTTAAGTACTGGAGGGTATTCAAAGAATGGTAAAGGGAGCCAATCAGCATTTTTATTGTTGCAATTTTAACACTTAAAAGCCTACATATCAGCCTAAAAGTAGGTGAGCTTTGAGCCACACCAGAAGACTGTTTATCCATGATTAAGTGTCACTGCGAGGTGCTAACATGAAGAGGCATATAAGAACATAGTTGGCAACTTTACAGAGATAAAATAAAGGCTTTTTATTTAAAGCAACAGTTGAGTTATTAAGACAGTAAACATCTTAGGGCAAGTGCTGTTTTTAAGTTCCTGTGGAAGTGTTTTTTCCTTCTGTAAAGCCCACCCCAGGCTATTTCCTGAAAAAATCTGTTATTGTGATAGATGGAAGTATGCAGGGAAGCAAAACCAAATTTCAAGAAGTGCTTGGCAGAGGAAGAGTAATTAATGCAACTTAATGTATCATTTAACAAAAGCAGCCAGGATAAATTTTTGATGTGTGGCAAGCATTTTAAACAGTCTGACTTTTTCATGAAGGTCACAGAGTCTTTCAAGGTAAGGGCAAAAACACAAGCTACAGCACAATAAATTAGACAATGTATTTCCAGGGTGTCACATGGAGCCAATAACTCAGAAACATGTTCTCACCCTGGTGCAAAAGTCAGGTATGTTGATACAGCTTTCCCCTTCAGCGCAAGTTGGCTAATTTGTTTTTAGTTTGAGCTATCAAAGTGTAAGATCTTAACCCTAAGTACAAAAAAAGTAGCAGCTCTACCACAAATTTTCTTAATGTAATAAACTTTATCACTAGTCCACCCTTGCACTTTACAGCATATACCAAATACTGTAGTTTGGATTTGAAAGACCAAAAAACAGGCAACTGCCATTAATTCAGGTTTCATACACACATGACACATTTCAGTTCAAATCTTGACCCAGTTATATTCAAAGACTGTTAAAGAACAGCTCATTACAGTTTCATATATGCTACACAGCAAAGCTGGGAAGATTGCTAGTGTGAGTAGGTATTTCTTCAGGTATATGAGAATAAAAAAACCTTGGCAGGAGACCTGCCTTTCATTAAGGAGATGGATTAGGACAGTCAGCAACATTATCCTTTACTACTTAGTAATTATGATGAAAATTAAGATTATTAAATAGATTCTGCAGCATTGTTCATTCTCCTATAATAATCAGAGTTTGCCTACTTTCAGTATATTTACTGCATTCTTATTTTTTTCCCACAGTTCCCTGCAATGTTGCCTGTGTTTTGAAATGGCTATGTATTCATTTGGTTGACAGCCATTAATACCCTGCTTTGATACCCTTCCATCCCCTTTCCCTCCTCCAATCAGAAGCACCCTCAAGGCTCTAAATGAGACCACACAAATGGAAATGAAGACGAGTCCATTTGACCTGTGCAGCACTGACAGGCTCAGTTACTACAAACTTGAGCAGGCAGTCCCAGCCCTGGCCTTGACAAACAACCTTTTTCACAGCTGAGCTGAGACTTCTCCATGGATCTGAATGAAAGGTATCAAAATCTGATTTCCAAGAGGTTGCCATACTCTGAGATCATTTGTTGGTAAGGCAAAACTGGATGACTGGTGAGCCAAGAGTACTCTTTAAAAGCACTGATCCCAATATAACTACACAGGTCTCATTTCCCTAGAGCTGGAACTGAGCAGGAGCTGAGTAAGGAGAAAAACAGGGACAGTGATACTGACTTCCACCACATTACAGCCTAGCTCTGTCACTGAATCTCTGCCAGTACTTTACAAAGTGAAGGTTTCCAAGGGCAAAGCAACAGCATGTTTCCTCATTGAAATAATTTGTATTACTGTTCTACTTTACCTTAATTTAGCATGTAATTGATTTAAGTGTAAAACAAGATTTTATTTTTCCAGACATTTATTTTATAAAATTTGATTTACCAGAAAAATATGTTATTTCTAATTTACAGCAACCTCTTCTATACCCTTTTTAATTACATGGGTATTTGTGTGTCATTATTATCCTTCTGGGTCTGATGGCAGCATTACAATTGTACCAAGTTCTTTCCTAAGGAGAATGAAGTTTTCTCTTTCTTACCCAGCTCACTCTGCCCTAAAGTTATACTGAGGAAGTCTCTTAATGAATTTGAGCAAAGCAGAAGAAATGCATTCTCTGCGAGAGCGTTTCCAGCAAATTGTTCTCTACCACACTCTTATTTCTGTCTGGAGATGCAGAGACAAACAGAAGGGGCTATTTACAACCACCTCATGTACTACTAAAGACATACTACTGTCTTTAAGCTTTTAGAGAATGTGCCTTGTGCACGTGTCAGGCAAAATTCAAAGTAAGATATTAAGAGAAGTATCTAATCTCTTTTCAGAGACTCCAAGCCATGCTGTCACATGCCTTCATGTTGCTTACCTTCTACATAATTTCACCTTTTTGCAGGCTAAGCTTATTTAAGCTCCACTTTTGGCACTAGATTTTGTTATGCCTTTGTCCATAGAAAGAAAAAGCCTCTATTCCATTCTTACTCTTAGTGAGAAGATGAAAAAATCCTACATATAAAAAAATGAATCAACCCTCCAATATTTATTCTATAAATTGCAGGTTTTAAACATGCTAAGAATCCCAATATAATGACTATTTTTCTAGACCCCTAATAATTTCACTTGAGTTACTATCCCTGGATGTTTTTAAAAAGACAAGAAGATGGGCACTTAGTGACACGTTTAGTGATGGACTTGGCAATATTAGGGTTATGGTTGGATTTGCTCATAAAATGTCTTTTTCAACCTAAATGACTCTGTGATTTCAACAAATTTCCATAAACTCTCTCTAGAAGTTTCATACCTATCTTAAAAGTCCTGACCTGGGCATAGTATTTTATCAGGGTCTTATCAAAGCTGTGTTTAGTGGAAAGATCATTTAGTACTTAAAATGTATATTTTGTAAAATCCTTTTAGTCACAATACTTGTTATGAGGTCAAAGCAGTTGTCTGTGAAGAACCCTGTATTTTTCTGAACCTGTTCCATACAGTCTGTAGCTTACACTGTTTTCCATTGAAGTAATTTCTCTTAACTTTATAAACCTTAAATTTAACCAATTCTTATACACCTTCACTATGTGTGCACCTCCAAAGGAGTCCTCATGCTACTACACTGAGATACTTGTTTGAGCCTTTAGAGCATCTACAATAGTATTTCAGTTCAAAACCAAAGCATGGTTCTAAAGCAAGTCTCCTCACCAATAACTAAGTCCAACTGTCTTGAGCTCTTGCATAGGTGGTTAGAGCAAGACAGCAGGGTTCAAGTTTATTACCTGAATTGTCTGGTAAACTGAAGGATCAAATCCTTTAACAGTCACTTCTCGGAAAACCGTTGGCTCCAGTTCCTCTTTGGTCAGATCACAGTGATATATAATACCTAAAATACAGAATACAGTGCAAGCCTGTCAGCTTAGTATACACCCATCATTACAAAAAAGCCAGTTTAGGCACTCTGATGGAGTCATGAATGGTAAAGATAACTCAGCAGGGTGAAAAACAGTAGTTCTGGACACATTTTTTTCATTTATTATACAATTCAACACTTGCATATATGCATTTCATCTAGGGAGGGTACAAAGGCTTTCTGTGCAGAAAGAATAATTCTCACCATTCACACAAAGCCAGGGAGCTTAAGCAAAATAGGGGGAAAAAACCATTTACATAAAGTTAGAAAGGACTTATTGAGAACAATAATGTTGGTAGAAAGAAATGTATAGTCAAATTTAAAACACTCCCTTTGAGATCCACCAGACTGAGAACAAATATATCAAGAATTTCACTCAGGTCTACAATTTTCTCATTATGATAAAATATTTAAAATCAAAATTCAAATGCCCCAGCTAACAGAAAGAGATAAATATCCACTTGAAATTGTGGCAGACTAGCACAGGTTACCTATGGAACTAAACAAAATCTGGTCTTGAGTAATTTCTTTTACATCCTGATCCTGCAGGTTTGAAGGCAACTTCACTTGAGTTGTATATATGGTTTCCAAAGGATTATGCACATGAGAAAACTTATGTCTGTAAATAGTATAAAACTTCTACGTTGCAGCAGAGGCTGAAACACAGGGAATGCAGCTATCTAAACACTACACAGATGTGTAATTAGCCAAGACTAACTTTGCAGTTAAACTATAAAACAAATTTCCTGTCATTAAACCCTAATAACATTTGAGGACGTGTCATACAATGTGTTTGCACGTGGTTAACACACTAAAAAATCCTAATATTCATGACTTTACTACAGATACATGTGACACATAAACTAACTTAAGTGTTAATTATTGTTTTTCTCCTTTACAACAAGCCTTGCCAGTCCATTTGGAACATATATTAGGGAAAAGAATACCAAAAAGGTATAATAAATACTAAATACTAAAAGTAAGCACTTTACTGGGATGCTCTATGTAATAAAGTTAACCAAGGTGGACAGGACTTGATTGAAATCCTGCTGTATGGTGTGTATAATAGATATATTCAGGAAATAGTATTACTACAGAGGTCTTAACTATAAAAATTCATACTGACTAAAACATGAAATAATGAGGAAACTTATCTGATACCAGAAAATTGCCTCTTGAAGTCAGTTTTATAGACAGGAAAATCAGGAAGATAGAGATTGGTAAAAAAATACAGATGTAAACTAACATTTCTAGCAACAGGTAAAATATTTCTCCATAACAGTGAATTAACAGTGGACTAAAAGTAGGACTACCCTAGTCTACTGAGATTTTTTTTTATTTATCACAAAGTGACTTGCAGGCCAAATCAGGTTAATAGACGCAAACCAGCATTAAAGCAGCATTTCCCATAAAGATCAGGATCCAGAAAATGATGCGGAAGCGCAGTGTAAAGCCCTCCAGGCAGCAACAGCAGAGCAGCTGTTTGACACACAGGCAGCTGCCTAAGCTGGGTAATGTACTGGCAAACACTGCACACAGAGCAGGCAGAATTGCCACATCTTAGCAAACCACATGATGAAGAATAAGCACAGTCACAGACTGCATTTCCAGAGCAAATCAACCTAATGTTACAATAACATGCAATTCAACCCGTGCAACTGCATCTCTTGTTCTGTTGTATTTTTAGTGTCATAGCATAGCAGTTAACATAAAAAAAAATTGTAATATTTTTAACTGTTTTGCTGGATGCTAAATAAATGCAAAATGCCTGAGTGGTCGCTTAAGCATCTGACGAGTGGACAGCAAGGATAACCATATTTTTGAGAGAATAATGAAAATTATTTTACTGTATTAACATATATGGGTTTAGAACTGCTTTATTCATTATTTCATATCTATGTTTATTATTATTTTTGTTGTAGGTATTAAACACAAGTATGTTAATTTGTTATTCATTAGGAAAAAAACAATAGCCCAACCTAATACAGGTGAAAATTGTATTGATTTCCAACAGTAAAATAGGAATATCTAGGTTAAACAAGAATCAGCTCCATACCTTTTGTACGATTATTCCACTGATGAGTTGAACGGAGGCTGCACACAAACTAAAAAGGATCCATAAACCAACCTAAAAATTACTTCTCTGGCCTGCTTTCCTCATTCTTTCCTTATCCCCATGCAGTCTACCTACATTTCTTATCTTCCCCTTTTCTTCCAGATTCCAGGTCACTCTGCCCCATTTAACAGGGCTATGCCATACTGAATTCTTTGTAGATGATAAGCAAATTAATGAAAAGGAGAAAAATAATCTGCCTAAGCAACGAGCAGGCAGTGAGAGCAGCTGTTGCTGGTCAGCTGTAAAGCCACAGGCTAAAACAGATCTGAGCTTTTCCCCTACACATTTTTAGCAGCTACAGAGACTGTACTGGCTCAGCTGAGACAAATGGTGCAGGCCTGTAAAACTGGCAATTTCTGGCCCATAATGGGGACAAGTGAACTAAGAATGAAGTTAGAAATAAATGCGAGAGTGTCCTCAAGCTAATCTCCACCTGCAATGGCTGTAACAATCTGAATGTTGTTTAAAGAAGGAACTGAAAATATATCATATTTCTGTTTACGTGAACAGTAAGATAATAGGCAATTCATCACACTTCTCTGCTAAGACTGAAACCTAATTTTGATAATTTGACATAATCCTTTCTAGCAAAACCAGCAAATTTATCTCAAGTATTTTACAATGTATTTGCAATGTAATATTGCTATGCTGTATATACATATAACTAAAACAAGAAGAAACAGAGGTCAGATGCTATCAGAACATTTTTTTATCCCCTTATGATACAAAACCTTGGAAGAAGATAAATATCCTGAATAACCCAGAAATATCCAGACAAATATCCTATCTGCCCCTTCATATCTGAATCTTGTCTTGTATTAGGTATTGATTGTTTGGGCCATAAATAAAGAAGAAGAAGAAGAAGAAGAAGAAGAAGAAGAAGAAGAAGAAGAAGAAGAAGAAGAAGAAGAAGAAGAAGAAGAAGAAGAAGAAGAAGAAGAAGAAGAAGAAGAAGAAGAAGAAGAAGAAGAAGAAGAAGAAGAAGAAGAAGAAGAAGAAAAAAGAGTGAACAATAAATACATTTTCTTATTGTATACTAGATTGACAATTGTGTAGAAACTCCCTTCCTATGCAAAATCCTAGAATATTTACTGTTTTGCCACACCTGCATTATGTAATGCTTTGGACAGGTCTAGCTTTGCAGGACTGCAAAGAAGATTAGCACACCAAATCCAACAAGGCCAAGTACTGTAAGGACAGATAGTAAGGATACTCAAATAAGGCTATGCATAAATGAATCATAAAACTGCCAGAGAACAATTTCTGTGACTTTTATTAATGTTCTTTAAAATTGCGATAAAAAATTACATTAAGCACATTAACAATTATATTTTACTGAGATTTTCACCTTTTGTCTTGCTGTATGAAGCAAGAACTGTGCAAATGCTATAATTTTATCTCCAGTACAAGACAGTCTTGAGTCTTAATGCAGGTATCTCAAATATTAGTAGGCACCTTATTTAGGCTTGATAGATCAAAGACTGATACATTTTTTGTGCACAATCACTGCTAACATGGGTGGAAGTAGTTTTATACAAATATACCAAATAACTACTAAACTACAAAAAATTAGAAAGACGCTTCTAAGGAAAAGGAACAATAATATGAGACAAAAATATCTTACCTGGAGATAAAAAGGAAGTAAACTGGTAGAATATTTCAGTATCCTTCTTTTGGCCACTATATCCCACAATACTACCAACTTCTAGGGGAAAAGTCTTGAGATGTGCACCAGTGGCTAGGTCATGAAGCTGCAGGATATTCTTCACATCATGCAGGTAGCACAAAACCAGGAAATTGGACCTCACACAAGCAACCCATTCTGCACAGCATGGAAATGAAAAACAAAGCCATGGAAAATACAATTAAAAAATGTAAGAAAGAAAACAATCAGACATACTCTGCTCCTGAAATTCTTTAGCATACCTAAATGCATGCAGCAAAATTTCTGACACGCACTGCCTTTAACTCTAAAATCTTTGTAAATGAACCCAAAATAAAGTCTGACATTCTCTGGAAATGCATTAACCATGCTGCTTGAAGTTAATTTATGCAGACACAAGAATAAAGAATTGCTTAATCAATATGCTTATGCATTTGGGATATTTATAGATCAATAGTGCTCTTAAATATCACATATTTCAATGCATAACCCAAGCAAAACATTTATCTTTGCCAGCAATACTTATGGAAAGTCATGAAAATAAAAAAAATCATTATGATTTATACCCAAACTAAACTAACTCATAAGGAAAAAAGATGTGATCCAGTATTGCACATTGAGGTATAGAACCTAGATGTTACTATTTGTCTTGGTTCTACTGCTGAAGTGACCAGGAGACTATTCTTGTAAGCAAGCCCTACTGGGTGCAAGAGAGGGGCTATTCTGGGGTGATGTTCTCATCATGCCATTAAAAAAAGCCCCACACGCTTATTCAAGATGCTAATGTTGCTAAAAAGCATTCTTGAGACTGTAAGGTAATAGAAGCAGGATGCAGCTTGATGAGCAGTGAACTCATTCCAGGCAAAAGGATCCAGGAACAAATCCCTCTGCAGTGGTTCACTACCTTTATGTCCCTCATGGCAGCCCTAGTTCTAGTCCCACTTTGTCTATGCAGCTGTGCAGGAATGAAAGCTTCTGCTCCACAGAACTTCTCCCATCTTGAGTTTGTTCCTTGGAATAAGTACTAGACATATGTGAACCTTTATTTCATGGCATGCTAATTTTTCAATTGGACTTTAGAAAATTGAAACCAATTAAAATATCTGGGCTGGCAATTTCTAAACATCTCTGTGGTTCAACTGACTATTTCACTTCAATCTCCATCTCTATAGGCTGTAAAGTGTAGAAACTCTTTGGAGCTCCAGTTTGCCCACTATATATCATGTACCATTCTCTCCTGTGCCACTGGCTTTGGATCTCTAGTGACAAGTCTATTTATTTACTCATACAGACAGGAGAGAGATTAAAACATCTTAATCTTGCTCAGTATTTCTGTCATTTAAGAAATTACTTTGCAACAAAAGTATTTTAAGTTCTCATTAATTCACAAATTGAATACAAGTAAGACAAAATACAAGCAATGATAAAAATTAAAGAAAGTATCCTGAAGGAGGTATTGTGGAACAAATAATTTTTAATCACTTGTAAGACTAGGTAAGGAGGTGATTCTTATTCTCTTCCAACTACATATACGCAACCTCTTCTCTGACAACTCAGACTGGAAATCTAAATCATGGGCAAAATACCAGTGTGGGACAATAGCTTTTTTTTATCTGTTGGAAGCAAAGAACGAGGAGATGGAACCAAATGTGCAAGAAATCTGATGTAGAACTGACAGGGGTACACTGTAACACCAAAGTAGCATTGTGAGATGAAGAGTTTATTGTGAGAACATTGGAGGAAAAAAATATCAGAACATAAGCATACAAAAATTGACGGAATTTCAGTTTTACACTGCTTTATGTTATTCACATCTAAACAGCTCTTTCCAGTTTCCTCAAAGTCCAATAAAACCAAATAATTTGAATTCACAGATTTGTAAAGAAGACAGACTTATAAACACACCTTTACATATTCAGGTTGCAGAATAAAAGTTCTGAGTTGTATGATGTGCCCCTTCCATCAAGGGTAACAAGTTCTTAGTAACTGAAGGTCAAAACTAGCTATTCTGAAAGTATCCTATATTCTTTCATACAGAGTTCAAGGTCTGTCATGACCCCCTAGAGCTCAAGGACCTTCAAATCCTTTAGCTTGTTTCCGAAGGACCAGTGAAATGTAATACTTGTCTTTCTAGACATATGAGGTCATGTTTCACAGACACCTAAAGAAAGCTCTTACTACTTCCCTCTTCCCAAAGACCACCATTCATATTTTTTTACCCTCAAACTTTCCAATTTCTTCATGAGCTAGGCTAAATTTGGGAATTTTCTAACCAACACCCCACAGAACACTAACTCAAATTTCTGCCATGACCTGAAATAGTAAGGTACGGCATAACACTGTTTATAAATTAGTAATTGATGTGTAATTTTAGTTCTAGGGTGGCTAAAATTTCTTTAGTGAGGCTGGAGAACATAATAAACGTAAGTTAATAGTTCTATTCAATTACATATTTTGAAATACAGAATCTTTCTTGGCTGTATACACAATGAGAATATGTAGTAATTAAAAATATTTTTTACATTGTTGCTGCACAGATTTTCCAACATTTTTACAGAGTTTATTAACACAAAATGTGAATTAAAAAGTTAGCATCCCAACAGTAACAGACCTCTTTTGCATGCAGAATTATTGCCTCTGCAATATGAGATCCCATTAACTCCACTGGCATTCTCAGCAAAATTTATAATTAAAATGTTCAGTTTTACTTTCAAAATTTCTTGAAAAATTTTACAGAATGGATTATAAACACTCCCAGACAAACTTTAAATGTATATAATATATAGATTTGCCTCAACAAAAAAAAAAAGAAAAAAAGAAAAAAAGAAAAAAAGAAAAAAGTATTTTTATTTTAAAATGACATTGTGGTGCTGCTTTAATTCCTCACTAATTATTTGATTAAACAGTTCAGTTAAATGGATTTTTTCATTAAGAGCTGATGTATATTATTACTTTGACATATATTTTTATGAAGAGGTAAATCTCTTTTTATTAAAAAGATTCAGTTGCTCAGAGTAAGGCTGCTGGCTTATGTGGGGATTTCTTCTACTAAGGAACTTGCCTAGAAAGCAGCAATAACAACTCTCCATCACCTCTTTGGTTTACAAATTAGATGCTCTCAGGTGAAGATAACAGATGAGAAGACAATGCAAGATGCTTTTAAAACATTCCATGAGGTTTAGGAACACAGCTCTGTGTACAGTACCTGTATTACAACTGGTTTTGGTGCATTGCTAACTGCCTCCAAAACTTACAGTAATGGCAGCTACAAAGAAATGCAAAAATCAAAACAGAGCAAAATACTGAAGCAGACTTGATAGACAGAAGAGAAAGAAAGCACTAAGAAACAATACGTATATACACAGCAAGCTAAAACAGTGATGAATTAACAAGAGCTATTTTTTGACTGCAAGCTTTAAGTTGGGTCTCTGTTATTCCCATGCTCAGCACTGAGAACCACAGATACTGTTGGCGTATTGCATTAGCAGCTAACCTTTTGGTTTTGCTTGTGCATCGCAGGATGCATCCTGCATGCCTCTGTATTTCCTAGAAACTTTTAAGACAGTGATTTCAAATCTACTGTCTAAGCCTGACACCACTGCTGCAGGCATCCTTTATAGACAAATGAGAAGAAATAAGCACTTTTAGAGTGCAAGTGAACCATTTATTTTGATGATATATCCCATTCTGGGATACTGTGAATTGCTTGCCAAGCAGTTTTGCTCACACAAGCCGTGTTTTTTTAAAAAGCTAACTATCTGAAACCTCTCCAGTGTATAGGTCAATTTATTTTCAGTGAATACCAAGGAACAGAGCAGTTAGTCTCCTGGTTACATCTAATTTATCAACCCACCTACTTCCAACATCCATCAGGCAAGGATTTATACTACTACACAATAAACACTAAGTAGTTGCCTTCTCCAACCTGAGCATCTTGCTTCAGGCATCAGAGAGATGAACACACTTGTAGACAGTCCTAAGTACTGAAAGCAGGTGTGAAGAATTATCCTTGGTACGGGCCAGCTCTCTCTGAAGAGTACAATGATGACTCTGGTGACTACAGTAGGTTACACACAATTCTTCAATAGCTAAATCTGGGCTAGAGGAGATACACTTCTTAACAAGGCCTAGAAAACTGAGCTCAACTGTGTCTAGAACTTCTAGTTCAACCTTCCAGAAATTCATATACTGCTACTTTCCAAAAACTCTTATTTTTTATTTTGACAGCTGTCATTAGTCACAAAGCCACTAACTGGCACCTGCAATGTTGCTGTGAACAACTTTTTGAAATAGTTTCAAGAAAAAAAAGGGTTGAATCATCACACTAAGCATCTGTGCCACTAACCTTAATGACTTAAAAGAGTTTTGACCTTTCCTTTCTGCAGCAGTAACTACAGCATGTTAAGTGTCTGAATGTCCAAACATGCTTTGACAGATGCAGGCTGAAATGCTGATGGAGAACACTCCGTGCTAGAAGAGCCAAGCAGCCATAGAGTTTCAGCAGGAATTGTTGAGCTGATGTATGCTGTGCTTATGGGTCCACTCAAGGCATGTACTGTTGAGTGAGATTAATTAATGTATTTCAATGGACGGCCAAAGCTGTAGCTGCAAGACAGACCTGGAAGGTCATGGTGGTTTCTTTGGTCATCACAGACAGTGACCATAAACTTCAGTGTCTCTGCAGATTAACAGGAACCAATGCTGATCTCAACTAGAATGACCTGTAACCATCACTCAAGGCTACTTACGAGTAGACTTGCAGGTAAAGCAGGAGCAATTTACAGAATAAAACATGAATAATCCTGAAACATCAAAGTAAATGATGACAAGCCCTCACAATATAAAGCATGTATCTTCTCACTGAGACCCCATCCTCAGTGGCAGCCTGCCATGTTAAGATTATGGGAAAGCTTCAACCAATTTCAACAATTCAAGAATTTGGTGCTCCTTCCAGACTTTTTCCTCCTGGTTTCCCTACAGTGCCTAAACACAAATTTCAGCTGCAGTAACTCACTTCCTCATCTCCTCAGCATTTATGAATTAGTTAGCAGGTTAAAGGTATAAAGAAAAATACTATTTTCCACTGTAGCTGAGGGAAGGGAATCATTTTACATGCACTGAGTTTAGGTGTGCAGATGTGTACAAGGTACAGGGAGCACTGCTAGCTTTGCCTCTGCTTGTTAAATGGCCAACTGAGATTCAAGGAACTGCCCAAGATCCTCTCCCCATCTACAACATATTCAGGAATATGTCCTACTCCTTAGACCTCCTGGCTCAGGAAATCTATTCTGCTTTTCACTGCCACAAGGAAAGGGCCAGACACTTACTACTAACTACTAGTACTTAGTACTAGTGCACAAAGTACTGAGCACTTTGGGTGTGGTGTGGGGTGTCACAGTTCTCAAAATGACTAATTTAACCTTCTAAACCCAGCAGGTTTATCCTGTGCCTTAGAACTAGGGCTGCAGGCCTGCTATGGTCAGTCAGCACTTATGGTTTCGTAGCTGCCTTTCAATTCAGCATGCTTCTTGAAGCTACGTGGTCATTTAAAGCACAAGTTCAATGTCAGATTCAATCTCTCCTGTGGTTTTATTCACAACTCCCTGAAAACTAAAACTAACACTTTATAAACAAACTCCAAAGAGAAGGAAATCAGTCTCATTGCACTACAATATGCTCTGAGGCACCCTCTTCAATTTCCTTTTAAAACAGCTGTCATTTATTTCTTTCCCTCAGCTCACAGAGTAGAGCTCTAAATTTACCTCATCTCTGTGTAAAATCCCTGCTGACAGTTGTAAAATGAAGTGGATGTACAACCTCACTGCAGGAATATGCTTGATTTTTCCCTTTATTTCCCAAATTATCTCATTTATAAACAGTTCTTGGAAAAGAAAGGGTCAAAGCCAAAATAAAAGTCTATCTTAGAAATATACTGAGGAAACCAAATGACATTCATACCATCATGTAAGCATGTATGTTTGTTTCTTGATTAGAAAGATGCTGCAGCTAATATAGTCTAAGAATACAATGATACTTTGTGGAACATCCCTTTATGCCGGTGATGGACACTGGTAGAGATTCTTAATTCTCAGTCCTGAATTCATTATTTGTAAATAAATCTATTTCCGTAAGTGCAGCTTTTATGAAATCGAATCTAAGTTAAGACACAGAAATGAACAGGCTATGTCTTCCAGGCAGGTCATACCAGAGTAGGATCCCAATAAAACACATTTGTGACCTAGGGTATCACTAACTATAATGCTTGTGAAGAAATACTAACACAGCTAAATTACATCTTGTTAAAGTCACTCCCACACGTAAGTAAAAAGCAGCAATACCCATTTACCCTCTGAATCACTGCTGTCTTAGCTTTACCAGAAGGAGCTTCATTACACTGTCATTTCTTTATCACCCGAATCAAATTCACTTGACTCCAAGGTTTTCAACAATGAATTATTAACTGTCATTGTTGTAATTATGTCTTACTTAACAAAGCTTGGAATGATTAAAAAATCCTGGCATGGAGATTGGCTTGCTTGCTGGCTACATGAAGTGAAGGAGTGACGTTTTTTATTTATTCAGGACTACAACTTTGTGAGCGTGATGAAACTACCATATCTTGGTGCTAAAGTATAGAACACTAATCTGCAAGTGTCTGCAACAAAGAAGCAACTGAAGAATTCAAATTTACTTTACTGTAAGATCTACTATAGATTTATTAAGACCTACGTAAAACTCATCTTCTTATGGAGACTCTTTCATTTGTTAGTTCAATCCAATTTCTTTACATACTACTCCAAAAAGCTAAGGAGAGAAGTAGACATATGATTACCTGTTCTAGCTTCACATTCAGCTACAATAAAAGATTAATGACACACAACATATTCCTGAAAGTCACCCTGATGGTTGTATATGACAGATTATGTTTGCTTTCAAGTGTTTAAGAACTGAATGCCTGATGGGTTTACAGTCTAAAGGCCAGTGTCCTCAGCAAACCCATTCATCTGAGGTTTCAAATTTTTTAATGCAGTTCTTGTTAAGTCTTACTGTCAAGGCTGTCATGAATAAGCCATTAAATGAATGTTGCACGCATTAAATTTTTCTTTGTGCATGAACATGAACTCATCACGACTTTGCCTTTAGAATGAAACCGAAATGGATTTGAGCTAAATACCACAGCGTAGGGAAGAGCAGATCTGGTATTTATCTGACTGGAAAAGAATAGATAATCAGTGCTTATAGAGCCATTGGTCAAAGACCTTCAGCTGCCTAGACCATTTTTCAGGTAAATTCACACATGGTAACCACATTTCATGTCAGTAAAACGTTCCTGTCCCATTCTATTTATACAGTCACCACATCCAAGTCCAATTTGGTCCCGCTTTATAAACTGCTGATCCTTGTAATTTAAGCATAGCTTAACACACCACCAGTGAATTTGCACATGGCCAAAATTAAGACTTGGAAGCATTTTTGCACTTACATATATTATTAATTCTCTGCTTAGGACTTGAAACATATTTAATTTAAGATGCAGGTTGCTTCTGATTCAACTAGTATCCAATCTTAAGAAAATATCTGTGCTTCACCAAGCTCTAATTTGCTACATTTCCATTCACTAAAATTCTCTCAATATTCTAGACCCCAGTCACTTCCAACATGACTACAATTCTGGATCTATTCAGAATCAACATTTATATCACACTGGGGACATCTAGGCTGTGGCAGAAATCACACAGGACACATTGTGAACTGCAGACAGAAATAAGGATTTTTTTTAAGTGACAAAATGATGATTTTGAAATAGTAAAATAGGTTTGTCTCAGTGAGGACAGAAGTTACTGTATATGCACGTATCAAATAATATACACAAAGAGAATTTGACTCATTCTACAAAGCAGCTCTTCACTGGAAAAGTAGCAAACATTAAGAAATTTATATAAAAATAGATTAATAAAAATGCCAGAGTATTTTTGAATAACTAATTATCTTAGATAAATAGTAATTGTACCTTGTACTGTATGGAGAGCAAACTACATAAATATACACTAGGCATCTGTCAAAAAACAGCTCAGAGGAGGTTCTTCTGTATTATCTGAAACTAATTCTAAGCTTCCATAGAACTTTCTGCAAAATGATGGGATTAAAACAATATACCTTTATTTTAATTATGTCAAAACTAAAGATTTATCCATTTTCTTACACTTTCCTGAGGCTTTTTTTTTCAAGTATTGTTTACTCCCCTTACTCCAGGAACAAAAGAAATCCTGTCTCAAATTCTGACCAATTCTATTCAAAGCACGCTGCAGTACAGCCAGGTTTGCTCTTTACCTCTTTCTCCTTACAAAGTCCCTCTTATTGTAATCCCTGTCTAGTAAACATTTATTTCACTGACATGAAACAGAAAAATACTTTTCCCTCATTTCCTACCAACACAGAATTAAAACAAGGACAGATGAAGCAACTTCACTAGGGCCACATAAGATGTTGATGACAGAACGATATTCTGAATCGTTTCTATCTCAGCAAGTCTTTTAACTGCAAATCCTAAACAAAGTTTAAACACATGAAAAAAGCAAGAAGGTCTGTAAAAGATCATTCAACAGACTAATTACTGAATTAATTTGGAAAAAGCAGAACCTAATGTCTTTAACTTGACATGAACTCTTACCTAGAACATCTTTTTCATGTTCAGGGACGAGAACTTTCCATTTGGATTCCTCTGGATCACTGAAGTCAATGTTGATTAACCGATAATTTGGAGAATGGCGGTTTGTCTTGAAAGTGAACACTGTTCCTTCATTGGTGACATACTCGTACTCAGCCTCAAAGTTATCTATCAGCTTCACCCATTGAAGAATTCCTGCAAGATCAAATATAGATGTCAATTCCTCAAACAAAACCTTTCAACACCTGAGGGCAAGGCCTTCCTGGCAATTGCTGGAGGCTCTTTCTTGCACAATGGCAGTGACCACAAGCACAGCTATGGAAAGGCCAGAATGTGAACCAGGTATTAAGAACGTCCAAAGAATGCTCCTGATCAATAGGCTGCAGTGGAAAAATGCCAGTTCACAGACACATTAACATGACTGGTTTGGAGGAATTTCTAGCAAAATACTGACAGAATTATGGCTCGTTTTCCATCAGCTTTCCTAAGGGGCATCTGGAGAGCTCAGATGTTTACCACAGAAATGCTTCTTACCACAGTGGCTGCTCTGAAGCCAACACCACTGAGCACATCAGGTTCTCACAAGTGCTCCCTTCTACAAACCTAGAATGAAGGGCTGCAGCTGAGTTGAAAGACTGCACTAAGGTTTCAAGTGCAGTTTTATTTTAAACACTTTTTCTAATATTACTATTTAATTATAAAGAAATAAGATATATATATTTAATTATAGAGGAATTTTAATTGTAAAGAAATGTTTGGAAAATGTTCATTTGGGAAATGTTTAAAGAAATGTTAGTTCCTGCAGAAAAATTTAAATGGAAAACTTTCTATTCTCCTTAAAAGCCCAGAACTTCCCGAAGAATATGAAATGATGCCATTGGAATGAATACAATAAACTTCATCATGAGGAACTTCCCTTTCAACTCAGAAACAACATTCCTGAAATGCTGTTCTGCAGAACAACCAAAGGACAACTACAGTTAGCAAAAACATCTGTGTTCCTGAAGAATGAATTGCATTTTGCCTATCAAACTCCTAGAATATCACACTCAATAAAAGAAGTGGACTTGTCTCAAAAATGAATTGCCTCAGTTTCAGACTATGGTACAGAGTGGGTAGTATTGACTCAACCTGAAGATGGAATTTTAAGACTCTACAGCTTTTTATTCACATTTTCCTGTTTTGCAATAGGTTGAGCAGCTAGTAGAAAGAAAAAGCTGAAATGTAGCTGCACAAGATATGTGATATACTTGTTATGTCTACAACACAACCTATCATCAAAACTTACTATTGCAAGCATCATACATTAGCTAAGCTGGAAAATGAGAATCCTTATTGATAAGTGAAACTAAAGCTCTTATATCTTAAAATAACATCTAGTGCACTGTCTGCCCGTCTCCTAATGCTACAGGTTTGGTCTTCGCTTTTAAGTATAAACAAACAAACTGCCCATAAATCTGTTTGTGAAAGTCCATAATGCAATGTTTGTATCAATAAAAAAGCATTTCAGCTTATTTTATAATATTAAAAGCTGAGCAGAATAATGCAAGTAGCTCATACTCGAGCTGTAATTACTGTAAATTTAAAAAAATAAAAGAATAATTGAGGAAGCAGTGAGATGACTAAGGTTACTTAAACCCATTAGATGTAATAGCAGAGTACAGTCAGGCCTGGTACATTCATAAAGTTTGTATCTCTTAATTGCCATCTTGGTTTAAAGAAAACTTCCCTGTCTCTTCATGCAAAGTGATTAAATTCTATTTTTTGTACTGCTGTAATACGAACTTTCCAGACAATCAAAGTGAACTTAGACATACATACTTTGTATGTAGGCATGCAAAGTGAACTTGGAATCTTGAGAGAATACACTGCCCCTTAAATTTTGATTTTTCCTGAGATCCAAAGTTTTGCCCTTCTCAAGAGATTTCACGCTGAAGAAAAATCCTACTAGTCACTCCAGTTGCTGTGAGTTCCACAGAGAAAACCTGCTTTGATGCCCAGTAAAAGCAAAGCAAATCCAGCCTACAACAGTGAACCCTGATAAACACCAGTGAAACCATTTCAGGATTTCAAATCACTTGCACAGGCATTTTAAGAAATAAAAACTTTATACCATAGCAGTATCTCACAGAATGAAACCAACATACTGAAGTACAAGTATGAAGTACAAGTATGAAGTACAAGTAAATGAAGTACATTTCATAAAAAGAAATCACCAGACTGTTGAAAAATCACTTTTTTAATGGTAAATGTGCACAATAGTTGTAGTCTCCATAAGTGCAACAGAACTTGGATATAGGACAATATACTTGGGATATAAGGACAATAACGTGACAGTAGGGATTTACATTGCTTCCTTGCAACTCATTCATCCACTCCTAAGTGAGCAGCTAGCAAAAAAGTGAGAGGGTTGATGTTCTTAGTTAGGGCACACTTAGTTGTTGATGTTCTTAGGGGCACACTTAGTTGTTATTATACAAAAACAACAGCATCCATCTTATTAAAGTGGCTTTTATGTAATCCTTAGAAGACAAATACTGCAGATGAATTACCTCTAAACCACTGTCTTACTGAAGTGGTTAAATACGCCAACATCTAAATCCAGGATCAGAGGTGGTAATGAGGCAACTACAGGCAGCCCTTTCATCAGACACATCATTGCAGCACAGGGTATGTGCTGCAGTTCTCCAGTGAGAAGAAGAAATCCTTTGCAATGACACAAGGTATCAGCCATAAGAGGATGCTTCTTTATTGCTGGTTGCAGGTAACCTAGTTGTGGCTGTGACTGAAAAGGGTATTCTAGCATTGCTTCAGATCCTCCTGCTTAGCCTTCTCCTTCGGGCTAGAAATAACTTGATGACAAACACAATCAGTTCATTGGGCACTAATATGGTTGAAAAGTGATGGGGACAGACACCATTTCTTTCCAGGTCATGCCCGTGGTAACACAAGGAAGGTACAGGCCCATACAGTTCACTAGCATGGCACTACCCCCATGTCAAGCACTCTGGCCTTGCCTCTCAGTAACAAAAAGAACAGTACATCTGTAAGTTATGGCTTCAGAAAGTACTTGAAAAACAAAATGAAGGATGGACATTCTGCCCATTCTTTATAAAAAGGAGAGAAAAGAATTAAAGAACTGGATCCTGATAAGAATTTACAAGTTTAACCAGCAGCCCTCTGAGAACATGTGTCTTTGAGAAGAATCATTGAGAAGGGGCATTTATATAGTCTAAGGCTACTCCTAACACCTGAAACACTATAGACTTCAATTTAATCCACATAAGGATACAGACACATAAGGATACAAGTGAGACAGACATATACAGGAAAAGCATGACAGTTTCCTATATACTGTTGCTATACCCAAATCCTTCTCCCTGCCAGTCTTTCTATTAAAATACATTGCTGAGAAGATACAGATGGTTTTGCCTAAATGTTTTATACCAATCAGTTATTCATCACCACATAACTGCATTACAATAGGAACTGCAGGTAGAATTCAGTGGACAATAAAGCCATGCCACTCAACAGAAAATAATAAACCTACAGAGCTAGGCTTCTGCAAAAGACAAAAGCAACATTCAGTGTACAGACAGAATTTTTAAACAAAGTTTTTGGATCCATAGAAGATCAAAAGAGAAATTGTTTCAGTAAGCATAACAGAATAAGCCCTCAATCTTGTACTGGCCTCTGAACATAGTAAAATATTCCATGGTCTGCTGAGAGCTCTGGGTGATGAAGCATGTCTGTAACTGAATGATGACAACTATAGGAGAAGGAAAAGCTAATTTGAACAAATTGATAAGAGCACGAGTTATCACAAGGTCTTGTTACCAACTGTCTTTAGACAGAAAGAATAGAGTGGCTGAGAGTCACTATGTATGTGTTCTAGATACTTCCATTATTTCATGTTTCATGCAAAGGCCAAACAATTTTGCCAAACAATGGCAAATAACATCTTGTCGGTGCCTACTGGAGAGACAGGGTTTAACAGCAGGGTTATCTGACACTGGGAAAAAAGGCAAACACTTGCATTTGGCTTTTTTCATGTGCCCTAACAGTCAAAATTACCAGGTAAAGATATAAATGTTCAACTCCATAAATTCCATTCTGACTTGTCATTTTTTGCAGGACAACTTTTCTAGAAATGGAGCAGTGCTGAGAAAGCTCAGGAAATGAACCAGGAGGCTCATAAGAACAGGGCAGGCTTTCTAACCCAAAGAATGATGCCACATTTTATTACAGTACACACATAAACTTCTACCCAAAGAAAGATCATGACTTTTTAACCCCTAGAATTTTCATGGAATCACAGAATGATTTGGGTTGGATCTTAAAAGCCATCTAGCTTCAACCATCCTGTCATGGATAAGGTCACATTCCACTATACCAGGTGCTCAAAGCCCTGTCCTACCTGGATTTGAATACCTCCAGGGATAGGGCATCCACAACCTCTCTAGACAACCTCTTACGGTGTTTCACAGTACTTATCTACACTAGGTTTTACATTCAATAGAAGACAGATAATTTCATGGTACACAGCATACATCAGATTGGAAGAGACTGTTTCAGGTCCCCTGTGGCATGTTCATAACATATTCTGGGAACTGAATGGCAGAGTCCGTCACTCAGACATCTACTTCAACATCAGAATCTAATTTCTTTTTGAATCACGCAATACTCAATTTGTTCTCAAGCCCCTGTTCTGAGTGAGGCAGCTAGGGAAAAGAACTCCGGGTTTTTCCTTTTATTTCTTCAAAGCCACAAATATTTAATTGTCTCACTCAGGTCTCCAAAGGCAAGAGAGATTTTCAAACAATTTGGACATCTTTAAAAGCAAAATCTCTCTATGCCTTGGGACCTGACTTCACTTATAAACATCTGAGGGAGGAAATACTGTAAAGGAGATATCAAGATGTTCCTGAGAGGAATGCAACTTTTGTATTTATACTGAGAAGGTATCACTCATTTTGCAGATGATGGATGACAGCTACTCAGTGATCATGGAAAGTTAATGTATTTGCCGTCTAAAATATAAATAAATGGAAGGAAGCAATATTCATTCCTTTAAGTAAAAAGTTCAGATGCGTCAAGATATATTCAAAGATTAATCCAGAAGAAAGAAATCAAGCACTTTTATGAACGGACATTTCTCAATCAGTTTCAAGGCTTCAATTTTACTTCCACTGGGA